CAAACCCCAAAGAGTAGTCCCACTCTGTAACACCTGGGGTCACTATGTATTGACTCAATGTCAAACAGGTTTGATTTTTTTGTTTTTTAGTAAACATTCAAGTAGAGATGTTGGATAAATCCTTGGAAACAATTGTCTGGAGTCTATAAAATCTGAACAGGAGATTTAATATGACACCTATCTGCATATGTTGTTAGTATTATTAATTGCCATCAAGTTGATTCTGACTCATACCAACCCTATACAGGGTTTCCACTGAAAAGATGGTGTGTTTGAACTATTAACCTTGTAGTTCTAAGTCCAATGTTCATCCTACAGCACCATACTAGGAATTTATCTGCATATATTGGGTATGTAAACTGTGGATTAAAGTATCTTAGACTGAATGTGATGTCCAAGAAAACGAATGTAGCTAGGGATGACAAAGAACCAAACCTTGTGCCACACCAACATTGCAAAGAAGAGGAATCAAAAAACTAGACTGAAAAAAACTGTCACTGAGGTCGGAAGAAAACTAAGCATCACAAGTGGAAAACCAGGTGAAAACAGTGTATTTAATACAACAGCATGATATACTGGAAATTCTGGTTATTAAAGAAAATAAAGATTGATACAATGACACAACAATGACTGAGCAACATGTCATTCTTGTGTACATAATATAGTCATGAGTCAAATCTAATTGTACTACAGGTAATAGCAAGAATACAAAAGTGGAGGCCTTTGAAACTCAAGGATTGTAACAGGAAGAAAGGCACAATGCATGACTACAGATCATGGCTGTTGGTGGGAGCTGGATGAAGTTACCTTCTGTCTGTTTCTATTTTCATGATGAAATAAAAGGAATCTTTCACTGAGAGTTGGGAATTAGAGAAGGAGACATCGAGATTTTGAAAGAGAATAGTTTCACAATAGTCATTTAGTAAAGTGAACTAATGAAGGAACAAGTGAAATGTATAAAACTGCTGGACAACATTCAGGGCTCCTTTTAAGTCCTTGCTAATAAGTCCCTATAGTTAGTTCTGGTGCCATCCAGTTACATTTCATCATGACTTCAGTGTAGAATAGGTAGAGAAATAGATTCAGCAAAGGTTTAGAGCTTTGCTAAAATGTATGATGAGGAAGGAAAGGGCTAGAGAGTCAATGGTTCTTAAAAACTAAAAAGAAAGGAGGGATTTAGATGAATGATTTCATTCACAGCAAAATCCAAAGAAGCAATTGCTTTAGATTTTTACAGATCCATAGTGACTTTCAACACACAGAATTATTTTGCTACAGAAAACTAGGAAGAAGCAACAAGATAATAGAAGAGGGAGATGATGAAAGAAAAGAGATAAGGAATACTGGAGTTATTATAAAGTAGTTGCACCTAGATTGTGGCAATAATATTTGTGACTTTATGAATGAAAACCATCTCTGCATTGTTTCTACTTTTTTTTTTTTTTTACTCCTTTTAGAAAATTTCTTTTTTTTTTTTTTTTACTCCTTTTAGAAAATTTCTTTTTTTTTTTCTGTAACTCAAATACCACATTCTCAGGTAGCAAATTTAGCTATCAACAAGGGTCAACTTTGACTTGAAATAGTCAACATGCACGTCTCCTGCTGTAACACTACTTTAGGCACCTACATAAAAGGTGAAAAGAGGATGCTGCAATATGATATGTATGTGGCCACAAGTTCAAAAGTTCAATACCACCAAGCTGCTAAAATTTGAAGACAGGAAAACAGTTAAGTGCCATTCATCAGTCATTCAAATTGGGAATAGTTAATGGAATTATGACAAAAGCCAATGTTCTTTTCTTTTCAGGAGCATTGCCATGTTAAACTGTGGAGGCTTGTTAATGATATTCTACTCTTGTCATTCACTTCAGTAAATGTTACAATAAGCATTAGAATATGATTATTGTATAATATAATAATTTTTGCTTCCAGCCCCATGTCAAGCCAGACGCACCTCTAACTTCAGTGCTGTGACTGTCTGTCACAAATCTCAATCTACTGATGTTGCAGGTGCCGCTGTACTTCATTTGCGATATCACCCCTATGACTGGCTAAGATATTCAGGTTTGTAAATAAAACTGCGTGTACTCATTTGGAAACATGAATATTGCTTTGCCTTATGAGATGGGAAGAGAGACCTTGGCAGGGAGCCACATCCTTTCCTGGCATTACTTATATGACCTTTAATGGGCTTGCTCAGAGTATGAGTCACAGTTTCTGAGAACTGGAGTTCTTACAGAGTGGTCACCTTGCTAGAAGGGGACAGAAGATGTAATTCCTTAGTCACACCTCTATGATCTCAGTGTTGGCTATGGAGCTGATGGAGGAAAATATTATATAAAAACAACATAGCTCAAAACATATTATTTGAGGTGACAAATATTTTCTCCTTAAACAAAACAAAATTGCTCTACTATAAAATATCAGATCCATTTTCTGTCATTACTGTAGAGCCTTGGCTCTGTAGGACAAGCACTGGATAAGCAAGGTCAAAGGTTTAAACCCACCAACTGTTCCTTGGAAACACTATACAGGATCACTATGAGTTGGAACTGACTCAACGACACTTAACAACAACAGTACCTTCTCAAAAGGAATGAGAAAAAAAGTTTCAAGCTACCAGTCTGCATTCTGAACACATTTCTCTGATGTTTATGAGCTCAGTGATACTTCCCCTTGCATTTGCTTATGTAATTGTTAGATTATAGGACCTTATCAGTCGAGATGTCAGCTTGAGGATTAAGGTGAGCCTGACCCAAGCCATGGTATTTTCAATAACCTCATATGCATGCAAAAGCTGAACAGTGAATAAGGAAGACCATAGAAGAATTGGTGCATTTAAGGTATGGTTTTGGAGGAGAATATTTAAAGTACTATGGGCTGTCAAAAGAACAAACAGATCTGTGTTGGAAGAAGTGCAGCCAGAGTGCTCCTTGGAGGTCAGGATGGCCAAACATCTCTCATACTTCAGACATATTGTCAGGAAGGACCAGTGGCTGGAGAAGAATATCATGTTTGGTAAGGTAGAGGGTCAGAGAAAAAGAGGAAAACTCTCAGTGAGATGGATTGGCAAAGTGGCAGCATCAATGGGCTCAACCGTGGCAACAATTGTGAGGTTTGCTCAGGACCGGGCAGTGGTTTGTTCTGTTGTGCATAGGGTCACTCTGAGTCAGTATAAACTCAATGCCACCTAACAACAACAATCAGTCAGTGTTGCTGACAGAATACAAGAATGGGGAAGAAGGAAATAGAGGTATTGATGAATATTTAATAATGCTTTTAATCAGTCCCAAAACATGAACATTTCTTGTGTTGCTTTGCAAATGAATATTCCTTATCATAGGAGCTTGCAGATGGTAATTTTTGTTCTTCCCAGTGAAAACTCTAGGGAGATTGGTTGGACTGGTAAATTGTTTTCTAATCATTAATGAATTTTAATGACCAACAACTTAAAGCAAACAAAAATAACTTCGAAAAGTGATTTCTTGGTGAAGTTGTTGCCAAGATACAGATTGCATTTTCCTAAGCTATTCACTTATGTTGTTAAGTCAGTTCTGACTCACCTAGCACCTGTATAAAGGTCCAAAGGCTGCAAATCCTTACCAGAGCAGAATGGTGGATTCAAACTGATGACCTTGCAGTTGGAAGTGCAACTTGTAACACACTATACTACCAGGGTTCCATATTCACTTATTACAGGCATAATATTTTACATTTTGATGTTTAGTTTATATGGTTCCTTGTATATCTCCCAGCCATTTTAAAAGGCATATTTAGTAGTTGAAGGAACCCTGGTAATGCTGTGGTTAGGCATTGGGCTACTAACCATAAAAGTGGAGGTTCAAACCCACCATGGGTGAAAGAAGAGGCTGTTGGTTTCTGTAAAGATTTACCATCTGCAGTCTCACCAAGAAAGCTCTCAATAGAGTATGATGAGTTGGAATCCAGTGGGTGACAGTGGGTTATTTAGAGGTTGTGAAAATTAGTAGCAGCAAAGAGAAATTCCAACTATCAGGCACAACCGTAAAGATCACAATGATCAGGAATGTTAATGAGTTCACCGTGACCAGAGATGCTATGATTTTCTAAAAGAGCTCCTACTTCAGTATCATTTAAATGGAAACAAAAATGAGCCAGTTATGCCATAGCTATGAAAACAATAAGTAAGGAGGACAAAGGAGAATATCATATAAAGGATTGCTTAAAATCAAGACTTTATGACAATTAAAGTCAACAGTACATGTTCCAAAATAATTACCAATCTTTTTGGTCTTGACAAGATCAAACCTAATGTGCCTTGCTGTTGGTATGATCTAGTTGAGTTTCAGTTTCAAAGAAAATCTTGGTAGATATCTATTTGTTCTCAAGGTGCTATGTTTTTTTTTTGTTTTGTTTTTTTTAATTATTCTTGTATCTATCCATGAGTCGTTCTCCAATTTGAGGTTGAAGTTTTATTCAAATTGTAATGGATTAGCACTGATTTTATGTTGTTTTGCTATGTGACCTGTATGTGTAGGCATGTTAAATGAGTGATTCATTTCAGAAAGAATCTTCTTACTCAAGTTTTCATGGTTAAAGTGTGCTATATAGAACAAATTAATTATGCATATAGAAAAGGAAATAGTGGGAGAAAAATAACTGCTAAATTTGTGTCCACATGGACTCTCCTCACAGATGCTTGTGACTTGTAAAAATGGCATGAGGATAGTGTTTGACTCCTTTGACTTCGCCATCAGCATCAGCCCTTGATTCCCGTGAGGAGGAGGTCATACATGCTTCTACCCTCCAAGCTTTACCAAATCTGACACAACCGTCCCTTCCACAGCAACTTCTAGTTCTGTGCTGTCTTTAATAACCCATTAACCACAGAACTCATAGAAAATACCCATGATTATGGGGCTTACTATGGAAATTAACACGTTACAATTAAGATACAGAAATGTTCAGGCACAGTTCTTCCAGTCAGCAGCAACTCTCTTCAGCCATGCATACCTGCGGGCATGCCTCTCTCTAATCCTCCACCTCTCAGTCACATGGCCTGTTGGCCTCTGCACTGCTTGAGCAAGAGTTACAAAGCTCTTTTAGCACCTGTAGTTTTAGGTGATTTTCTCTAGGGAACCACCACATTTGCAATCCTATCCCTAGAGTTTTTTACCCATAGAAATACTTACAGGTCTATCTCCTTGGTTAATACCACCTTTCCCATCAATCACAGAAAAGCCATCTGTTAGGACTTAATCCAAAATCCATACTCCCAAGAGAGATACTGCCCTGCCATTCTTTTACTGCTCAAAGGTGTTTGAAATTTGGCCAATGAATGTCCAAAAGGCATCCCATTCTGTAAGCCAGACTGCTGCCTAAAAGCACTCAACTTTACTTGTTCTGTTGGCCAGGAAACCCATTTCTCTGTCTCGTGCTCCGGCCTCTGGTTCTTGGCTCTTAGGTCACAGCATCTCTGGGCTCAGCTCATGGCTCTCCTTTCTTGGTGACTGAGATGGCTAATTTAAAACTCAATGGGATGGCAAAACTAACTAATTCCCTACATTAGAGTTTCCCATTTGCATGGTCCCACTCAATCATTTGGTGGGAGTTTATAAAGACTATGGCTAAAAGAGCCAGACTTCACTGTACCACAGACTTACTTATAACTTGACATAACATTTAAAAATAAGTGCTCATAGTGGTGGTAATATTTATACTTCCAAATCAGATATAATATAACACAAACATGTCTGCCACATACTATGTTTTTTAACCCACAAATTTTCCAAAAGCAAAATATTTAAACCTAAATTCTACAACAAAAATTTTAGGTAGTATTTGGGGCGTGGTACTGGAGTTTCACCAAAGTTGTGCTAAACTGTAGCTTCCTGTGCATTATTATGGATTGGAAATATTTCTTGAAGGCATTTTGTAAACCAGATTGGTATGGATAGGCAGGGATAAATCTATTGGAGAATAAGTCTAAATCTTTTCCAATAGCAATGTTCCTCTAAAATCTCCTGCAATCTTCTAGATTCATTTTCCAGAAGTTTTATGATGACTTTTGATTAGAAACCTTCAAAAACACACACACACACACACACACACACACAAACCCACAGAGGTTTTCTTTAGAGAACCACCACATTTACAGTCCTACCCTGAAAGTGTTTACCTATAGAAATACTCACAGGTTCATCCCCTAGGTTAGGACCACCTTTCACCTCAATCAAGGAAAAGCTATCTGTTATGACTTAATCCAAAATCCATACTCCCCAGAGAGATACTGCCCTATTTTTTTTTTTTTTCTGTACAAGGGGATCCGAAATTTTATCTTTCCAATTTTGAAGTTTGTCACATTTTTTAAAGAAAAAAAGTTTATAAGATATCTAAGTGAAATAAAAGTTTTGTCTTTAAAAAAAAAAATGTACTCTTAAACAATCAGATTAAAATTGTAAAAAAAAATTTTGACACACCCTAAACAATTAAATACACAAAGACTTTTAGCTCAAAAAGGACAACATATACTAAGGCAACCCTAAAAAGGATTATCTAAATAAAATTTTAACAAAAATAAGTATAGGAAAAGGCATATTAAAATGTCTAGCCATTTCTTTTAATTTTTAAAAGTTGCTGTTTGCTGATATAGAGATAACCCCCAACTCATATTAACCTCTTGCAGAAACAGAATGAAATATTGTCTGATCCTACACCATCCCAAGATCATTAATAAGAACTTTGTGATCCATAAGGTTTTCACTGACTGATTTTCAGAAGTATATCAGCCAACTACCAGAACTTTCTTCCTAGTCTGTCGTAGTTTGGAAACTCTGCTGAAATCTGTTTAGAATCACAGTAGTCTGCAAGATTCCACTGAAAGTTGGGTGGTGACGGCTCTTGAGGTGTGTTGGCTGGAATTGTACCTGGCTTTCTTGCACAGTTATTTGGTTGATTATGTGCCGAGGAATCAATTCCAATCCTAAGGGCACTGTAGAGGGTTTCTGAGGATGTACAGCTTTATGGGAGCAGAAAGCCTCATCTTTCTCCCATGGAACAGCTGGTAGTTTCAAACTGCTGACCTGGAGGTTAGGATCCCAACTTGCAACCATTCCTCTACCAAAGCTTTCTTGCATGGTAGTTGACAATTCTACTACTGACTGGTCACTGCCTTGAGTCATGAAGTAAAAGCTGTGAATTTTAAAAATACAGATTGGTATCCCTCAAGTAATTTTCCAAGCTAGTCTTTTGCCCTTAGGAAGACATTTGAATCTAGGATTCTTTTTGAACTACTAAATATAAATGAAAATGTTCCCCTTTACTTTTATATCTCCCTTAAGTGAATGGCCTTTCATAAAAGACTTAACCAACACCAGGTTTTATTTTCAGTTTTATTTTAACCCTTCCCTTTAATGAATTACTTGAGGTTAATGAAGATAGCTAACATGGTGGGAAATAGAAAAATGTTTAGATGGGTAAACTGATAAAATTTTCACTGTGCCTCTGGAGCTAATTATTTTTGTGCAGAAATGGGAAATTTTTAGTGTAGGAAATTTTCTATTCAATGGACAACATGTTTAACTATACCTTTATTATAGGATTTATGAAAATATCTATACCTTTATTATAACATTTATGGAAAGATCTAGTATTTCATGGATTAATTCCTTAAAATGTCTTGTTTTTGTACTCATTTTGTATCATTAAAAATATTTTCATTTGATCACTATTAAAAATATTTTTAATCAAATGTAAGATTCCTTAATCCAACTAAATTTACATACCTTCTGAATATACACTTTATGGATAACACTCTGAAAGTGAAATATATTGTATATTTGAGCAGCATCTTACTTGACTCAGACTTTTTGAAAAAGCAATATACCCGGGAGATTGTTCAGCTTTATGTTCAAAAGCACGTTTTCAAAAAGCAGGCCTTTATTAAACTTTACATGACTCAGTTTCCTTAACTTTAAAATCAGATAAGCCAGGTACTTACAAATCACCTGTGATGATGACATGCAATCATGTATGTAAAGTGCTTGAAGTCTCTAGTGAGTGCTTTTACTTCACATTAACAATAACAATAATATAATTATAGCCAAGTTGCCAAGAAATATGTGGTATAACATAAGTGTGGGGGTTGCATTGTTGTGTTGGACCTAGAAATGTGGAGCTCTTAGATATTGATTTACTCAACAAATATTTATTATGTGTCAGACATCATGCTCCATTCTGGGGGGTGTAAATAACTGTGATATAATTTGATTGTTTTAAAAGAGACATGTAAAACCTACTCTGGGAGCACTGAGGGAGGAATAATTAATTACTCACAGAGGAAAAAGGCATTGGAGTTAGGTCTCTAAAGATGTTTAGGGATTAGCTAGGGAAAGAAGAGGGAAAGATGAAGAGAGACTTTCTAGGCAGAAGGCATAGTGTGAGCAAGGGCATGGAGCTTGCCATTGGCTGGTAAGGATACAAAGGAGAAATAACATTTTTATTGAAGTAGCCTTGGTGGCACAAAGGTTAAGCATTTAGCTATTAATCAAAAAGTCATGGATCCACCCACTAACAGAAAAGACTTGGAGATTTACTCTGTTAAAGATTAATCCAAGAATACCTTATGGTTGTTAGTAGTGTACTTTGTCACATTGAGTCACCATGAATTGGAATTGACTTGATGGCACCCAACAGCAACAACAATTGTTCATGACTTGGTTGCACTCAGCAACAAAAACAATTCATACTGGATGGGAAGGTGAATAATGAGTAGCGAATCTGCAAAAATCAGCTGAGGATGCCTTGTGAAGGGTTCTTAATCCCTTGCCAAAAGGTCTCGGATTATATTGAAAGCAACATGAAGTTAACTGAGTCCACAGAGACCTTTCTATTACTCAATGATTTGCTAATTTATCCATTCATCAGATAAGATTTATTGAAAGTTCCTAGATGTCAGTTCAGTTATCTGCACTGGGAATAAAACAGAAAGCAAAAGACAAAAAGCAATGTGTTCATGAAATTTACATTCTACTTTAGGGTCTTCTTGTTAGGTGCTGTCCAGTCCAGTCTTTTCAGATCATAGGGACTCTATTCACAACAGAACTCAATGCCTGCTCTTAGTTCTCTTATCACAGATGTAGTCAATTTTATTCCTGTATATTCCATCTGGTGAGACTCACGTTTATGTTGTTGAAAAAAAAAAAAGAGATTTGCAATGCAGAAGTCATTGGTTTTACAAAATTCTATCATGCCATATCTGGTATCAATTTTATCACCAAGGCTATATTTTTAAATGACTTCTTTGTTCCCATCCCAATTTTCACATTCTAGTAGCCAATAGTTACCAAAGCATCCTGATTGGATGTTTGATCAATTTTATAATTAAGAAGTTGGTAGGATTCTTCAGTTTCATTATCACTGACTTTAGTAGTTGGTGTGTAAATTTGAATAATAATGGCATTAACTGCTCTTTCTAGTAGAAATATGGATATTATCCAACCACAGGCAACACTATACGTCAAGAATGATCTTGAAATACTTCCTTTGATAAACACGACACCATTTCTCTTCAATTTGTTGTTCCATGTATAGTAAACCTCATGATTATCAGATTCAAAATGACGAATGCCTTTCCATTTCAGCTCACTGATGCTTAGGATATTGATCCGTATACATTCTATTTCATTTTTGACAACTCCCACTCTTTTCTAGATCTATACTTGGTACATTCCTCAGTCATGTTTTTAGTGTATTCTAACTCGATGAGCTCTTCTTCTAGCATTTTATTTGACAATGTTCCACTACTATTAATAAGGTTTTCAATGGCTAAGCATTCAGAAACTGTGGAACTGTCCTTCTTAGTCTGTCTTAGTCTGGAAGCTTCATTGAAACCTGCTTACCATAGGAAACCCTTCTAGCATTTAAAATACAAGTGGTATAACTTGTAGCATCACAGCAACACACAAGTCAGCACAGTATGACAAACTGACAGATGAGCAATCATTTCATGGCCTTGGATAGAGGATATATCAGATATTAAACTGATAAGAACTTGATCTTAGCCAAAGGCTGAGAAATGAGTAACAAAGAATAGAGAAAATCAAGAAAATATACAAAATTCT